GCTTTCCGTTTGAGTCTTCATACTTCCAGAGTTCTTTCGCTGGTTCCTCCCCATCTGGATCAGTTGTTCCTTCTTGCCTTTAAATTTTCGTTTGGATAATGACACGCCCTGTTTAGTCTCTGAGCCAGTAGGTGGTGTTTGTGGGTGAGATTCGACCACACCCTTTATGATGAATCAGTAGATGCAGTAAAAGGGTGTGCAGGATGATCTCCCTGTCAGTAGGTGGCACTTGCAGGGAGGAGCGAGCTGCGGTGCTCTTTTTGGGTCCTGTAGCTAGCTCTTACTCCTCTAGAGAGGCCCTCTTGTGCCTCGGATGGTGGGTGGGGCCCTGGGATTTCCAGGTGTGTCCTTATTCTCCCCCTCAGTGGGAGGAGTGAATCTGGGTCGGGCTGCGTTGGGCAAGCCTACCCTCAGGCTCCACCAGGGATCAACTTCTGCTCTTTGTTACTGTGCAGAGCTGCCGGGAGGGGCTGAAATGGCTCCACTCAGCTGAAAGTCTGGGCTTGGGGGCTGTGGCTGCCCAAGGCCCGCCGCACTCTGGAGCAGGTCTCGCTCCCCTCCACTCTCCCCCACTCCGTGGCCTCTCCCAGGCCTCTGCCAGCAAGCAGGACCTCAGGCCTATGGATTTCCCCTGGCTGTGACGTGGGCTGTGCGCGGGAGGTTCCCTACTCAGGATCCTAGCCTGAGCTGTCCTTATTCTCCCCCTCAGTGGGGGCAGAACCCGGAATGAGTCTGGGTGGGGCTGGGTTGGATAAGCCTGCCCTCAGGCTCCACAGCTGTTGTTAGAAGGGTCAAAGTTCTGCTCTTTGTTTCTGTGCAGAGCTGCCAGGAGGGGCTGAAATGGCTCCACTCAGCTTAAAGTCTGGGCTTGGGGGGTGGGGCTGTCCAAGACCCGCACTCTGGAGCAGGTCTCGCTCCCCTCCAATCTCCCCCTCTCCGTGTCCTCCCCCAGGCCTCCACCAGCAGCAAGCAGGGCCTCAGGCTGATGGATCTCCCCTGGCTGTGACGTGGGCTGGGAGGTTCCGCACCCAGGATCGTAGCCGGAGCTGGGTGTACAGCCCTCCCTTACGAGGAGGGCCGCTGGTCAGGCACGCGATCCGCCCCTGAAGGCACACACTCCTCAGTAGGCTCCTTCACAGATCCCTCCTCCGTGCCCCAGGGCAGCGCGATCGTGACCTCGGTGTACAGGGTCTGGTCTGCAGGCCTGACCCCTGGACCCTGGAGATCAATCCCTGACCCTGCCAGGGGGAGCGGCGCTGGTCCCGAGTCACCTACAGGGCGCCCAAGCTGGATCGATTTCACTCCACCTCGGGATTTGCCCCGCTCTCCTGGAGTCCCCAGGCAAGTAGCACCTGGAAGGGCTGGTGGGTAGGGAACTCGCAGTCTGAGTGCCCCTCAGTCTGCTGTAGGGCCCCAAAAGGAAAGGTCCCGCTCCTTGGAGATGCCTCCATGTGATGGCTAAATTGTCTCTCTAGGCACGCACAGGTAGGGAGGGGGAAGGAGAGAACGGAGCACTATGGTGTCTGCCGCTAGACTCAGGTCTGCGTCCGGGGAGGTGCCCCGAAGGGGCTGGGAGCCCAGCGCTGAGTCCGCAAGAGGCCACTGCTCACTGGCAGCAGCCGTCTCTGGGCTGGTGTCGGCAGGTCTCTCCAGCCGCTCAGGAGCCTGCCAGAAGTCCGAGATGCAAGGGAGGGGGAAGTTAACCGCTCCACCTACCCTTGTCGCTGGTCTCCAAGCCTCTTGAGACCCTTCTCCTTCCAGTTGTCCTCCGCAACGTCTTCCCGTGGAGTCTCCTATAGTTTCAGGCACCCTTCCTTCCGACCCTCACCCGATCTGTTTCTCTGCTACCTTATTTTTTTCTCTTTCTTCTAAAATTCGTCTTTTTTGCAGAGACCTTCTGACTGGCGGCTTGTCTCGTCCGCCATCTTGGCTCCTCTCTGAAATCTTATTTTTTAGACCATTAAAAATCTTAAATAATAAAATATTTTAAGACAGTAGCCTTTTATATCTAACTACACCGACATTTTTAACAAGTATAATGCCCAGTGCTGTTGAGGTTTAGAGGGATCTATGTGCTTACTCATGGCTGCATTGGAAAGTAATGTAGGGCAATTCTTAGGAAGAGCTGTAAAAATGTTTATAGTATTTGATCTATGGTAATTTCATTCCTGTTTGTAATACCAATTTGGAGTATTTATCAAAAAGAAATCACTCAAAAGAAGGAAAAACTGTGTTTCATTCCTGTTGTTATTTGTAATATGAAAAAAAATCAGAAATAGTATAAATGACTCCAGATAAACATTATGTATATAAATTTAGTGAGCCACTATGCATGCATTTTTTATAATTGTGAGGCCAATGGAGCAACAAGGAGAAATTAATATGATGTAAATTCGTTTAAAACAGATTATAAAATACTAGCTGTGATGTCTAATATAAAATGTACATATGGATAAGAAATAAAAGTGATGACGAAAAAATAAAAACTATTTGTGTCCTCGAATAGTATGTAGGGGATCAGTGATTTTTCTTTTAACATTTCCTTTATTACTTCAGTAGGTTTTGTCCAGTAAATGAGAATAGGAGTGGGTGTGAAAGCCCCTAACTCTGGACACTGCCACGTGTCCTGTGTTTCCTTGCAGTGGGATCCAGCAGCTCAGGAGGCTCTCTGTGCTCTGCGAGTGGCCGTGTGTGTGTGGGCTCCCCACCTGGGCCGGGATTGGGCTCTTCCCCCCCAGGAGCAGAGGCAGCTCCCAGCCTGAGATACGTGCCTTACGGTGCTTCGCCCCCTAGCCTAGAGGGGCTCATCACCTTTGAAGCCCCTGAACTGCCAGAGGAGACGCTGATGGAGGTAGAGACGAGACTGTAGTAGCGTGTTAATGTAATGTTAAAGTGACATGAGAATGTTCTAGTGATGGCAAAAGAACAGAATACACAGTTATGTTCTTTGACTTTCCTGTTTGAAAAACACTGCCGCTGTATGTTCAGAATACTGTTGGCAGTGACACTGAAAAACAAGCTTTGGTTCATAGGAAGTGACACGTAGATAGGTTGTAGGATATTTAAAACATTTGCTTTTCTTCACAAGATAAAAACAATACACTTAAACCTAGGTTGAAAATAATAAACTGTAATGCTAGATTAGTCGTTGACACTGAGAAATAGACCTGCCAAGCAAACTAGATGCTCATGTTTGTAGATCGGTGCCTTCCCTCCACAGAGCCAGTTCTACAGGGAAAACCTGTAGAACTGAAGTATGTAATCTGAAGCACCTTGAGTACAAATCCAGAACAAGAAGGACTCAGGGCCAACACTCAGTGGAATAATGTGTCCTCGATCCCTGGATGCAACATGACTTAGCCCGATGTTTAAATTAAAATGATCAACTCTTTAGGTTAACTAAGGTACAAATTATCTCTCCATGTAGGATCTCTAATATTTCCGTCTTGTGTGAATGAGAATTAGTAATTTCACAATAAATTTGAAAATGTCTAATCCAATCTAAACTTGGAAAAAAACAATTCTGAGTTTTTTCAGTCTCCATCAGATTAGGTATAAATTATGTTCTATTACCTGTCCAGTGTATTGGATCATAGAGTCCAATATGCTGTCACAGAGCAGAGAGACTTTTAAAAAGTCGATTTATTCCCGTCTCTAGGAAAATGATTTCCATCTTTCTTTAACTTTGAAAGAGGGAGAAACTTTTAGTTTTATTTGAGATTGAAAAATGTATTTATAACTAAAAATTAATCTCAAAACAACATTAATTTTAGAATACACATTTTTAAATGACACCCCTCCGGATGCTGTTATGTATGCTATACTCCCCTCTTTAACTGAGAAGATCGTAGAAATTTAGGTCTTTGATATTAGGAATCACTGTTAACTAGAAAAGTGCCAGAAATTAAAATAAACATCTCTGAAATTATAAGAATTATAAAATTCATAAACCAGCAAGAAGTGTGATTTAGTGCGCAGAGAGTATCATTATAATCTTGATGCCTACTTTGTAGAAAAGCATTAGCAATCGCCATGGTTTATATACAGAAATGGGTATGTCCCTATTCTTAATCTGGAAATTTTGGCTTTGCTGCAGCGAGAACACACAGACACCTTACGCCATCTGAATGTGATGCTGATGTTCACTGACTGTGTGCTGGACCTGACAGCTGTGAGGGGAGGAAACCCTGAGCTGTGCACATCTGCTGTGTCCTTGTACCAGATTCAAGAGAGTGTGGTTGTGGACCAGATCAGTCAGCTGAGCAAAGACTGGGGGTAGGTTCCCCTCTGTATTCATTTCTGCATTCCTCGTGCTTTCTCTAAATTCGTGTCTGAGATGTAGGAATTGTCATCCACTGAAGATCATATCATTATTAAAAGCTTCAAGGAAGCCTCTAAGTTATATCATTGTACTAGATTTCGCTTTATGAGCCAAGACTTGGATCTTATGCAATCTTAGTGTTGCCTCTTTCCTGTAAATTACAACATTGAAGATATTCGATGATAAAGAGATTGTATTGATTTTTATCTGAGTGTACCTGTTGTTTTCAAAATACACACATCCTTCTCCATCCCTTGAGGAGTTATTTGTGCATTAGGAAGTTAAGGAGGATGCTATCCCTTTAGAAAGGCTATTTTGTTTTTATTTTTTTACATTTTAGAGACAGGATCTCACTCTTGCTCAGGCTGGTCTTAAACAAGCAGTCCTGCCTGGGCCTCCCAGAGTGCTAGCATTATAGGCGTGAGCCACCGTGCCAGCCTAGAAGGCTATTGTAATGGTGACCTGATGTGTGGAGCGCCAGGTCTTACTGGTTCACAAGATAACACTCTGCTACTGTCTTCTGGGTGCAGGCGGGTGGAGCAGCTGGTATTATACATGAAAGCAGCACAGCTACTTGCGGCTTCTCTGCATCTTGCCAAGGCTCAGATCAAGTCTGGTAAACTGAGCCCATCCACAGCTGTGAAACAAGGTATGAGAGGAGGTGATAGTGCTTGATTCCAGAGTCCTTGAGTTGCTTCCCTGTCATACCAACAGAAGAAGTTTTTGATGAGGAATTACTGTGTTATTCAATATGTTTTTTTTTTTTTTTTTTTAAAGAGACAGGGTCTCACTCTGTTGCCCAGGCTGGAGGGCGGTGACATGATCATATCTCACTGGAGCCTCAAACTCCTGGGCTTAGTGATCCTCCTGCCTCAGCCTCCTGAGTAGCTGGGACTACAGGCATGCGCCAGCCCACCTGGCTAATTCTTTTTTCATATGTATATTTTAGAGACAGTGTCTCACTGTATTCCCAGGCTGTTCGCAAACTCCTGGCCTCAAGGGATCTTCCCACCTCAGCTCCCAAGTAGCTGAGATTATAGACGTGAGCCACGATGCCTGGCCTCAATATTCTTAATAGGGGGAAATGCTGGGTTATTAGTTTTTCATCATTTAATTGATTTAGAGAGAAGTCAGAAGTGCTTTATTCTCAATCTTTCTATACTAAAAGAGAGAACATATGAAAGAATCCAATTTCCAGTCTTTTTTTTTTTTTTTCAGTGATCATTTAGTGTCACCTTCCTTATACCAGCAGGACAGGTACATGTCACTATGTCTTTATTTCTGGAGGAAAACTAAAATTAGTTCCCATCTCAACTTTTTTTCAGTTGTCAAAAATCTGAATGAACGCTATAAATTCTGCATCACCATGTGCAAGAAACTTACAGAAAAGCTGAATCGCTTCTTCTCTGACAAACAGAGATTTATTGATGAAATCAACAGTGTAACTGCAGAGAAGCTCATCTATAATTGTGCTGTAGAAATGGTAACCCTTTTGAAGGTTTAATATTGTATAGTACCACTTATCTTTAAGAGTATCTTTTGAGTTGAATACCTGCTTGACATCTACTGTTTAAGAAATTCTGGTTTGGTAAAACTATTAGAAAAAATACTGCTTTGTTAACCAGTCCACTAAAACTCATGTGCTCAGGTTCTACTTAACCTTATTAAAGCATAAACAATAAAGTAAAATCTACTTTTCCAATTGATTATAATATTGGAAATAATTTGTTTTCTGTCTCTACTAGGAAAAATTGCTCTGAAGTATAGGTAAAACAGGGGCTGATAGAGAAGTGGTTAGTGGGGAAACTTATTAGCCAGTCTTATTGTTACCATAGTGACATAGACTCTCCCCTATTTGTCTGCTTTGAACTGTATGGTTGTACTACACTCTTGGTCTTACTTTGAAATCCATTAAAATAATCATATGAAAATAACTTTGGAATATAAACTGTTGACAAGAATAATATACATTATATTATTCTAAACTGTTAACTCTATGCTGAATTACGACTTCATACCATAAATTTTTTAGAATTTTGTACTGGGGAAAATGTCCTCTCATGAGAAATTATAATGGTGCTTTCCTTTCTTACAATAAGAGCCTTGTAACTTCAATAAGTTCCTCTTTGTGCACTGGCTGCTTACTAAGCTTAGAGGTCTTAGCACTTTGTGTATTTATTAGGTTGGTGCAAAAGTAATTGTAGTTTCAGACCATGAATTTTAAACCATCATAACTATAGCCGTGTGCGGTGGCTCACGCCTGTAATCCCAGCACTTTGGGAGGCTGAGGTGGGAGGATCGCCTGAGCTCAGGAGTTCAAGAACCAGCCTGAACAAAAGTGAGACCCTGTCTCTCATAAAAATAGAAAAAATTAGCCAGGCATGGTGGCGCATGCCTGTAGTCCTAGCTACTCGGGAGGCTGAGGCAGGAAGATCGCTTGAGCCCAGGAGTTTGAGGTTGCTGCAAGCGAGGCTGATGCCACAGCATTCTAGCCCAGGTGACAGAGTGAGACTCTGTCTCAAAAAAAGAGGAACCATTACAATCAACACATTTTTGCCAACAAGAAATAAGTTTGTTTATTCCTATAGCATAAATATCTGAGCTTCGGGATTTGATGAACTCTTGGAAAGCACTTTGCATCCTGCTGGTTGTGGAAGCATTTTCCCTGCAAAAGTTGTCAAGATGCTTGAAGAAATGGTAGTCGGTTGGCGAGAGGTCAGGTGAATATGGCGAACAAGGCAAAACCTTGTAGCCCAAGTTGTTCAACTTTTGCAGTACTGGTTGTGCAACGTGCAGTTGGTTGTTGTCGTGGAGAAGAGTTGGGCCCTTTCTCTTGACCAGTGCCAGCTGCAGGCGTTGCAGTTGTTCGTGCATCTCATCGATTTGCTGAGTGTACTTCTCAGATGTGATGGTTTTTCTGGGATTCAGAAAGCTGTAGTGGATCAGAATGGCAGCAGACCACCAAATGACCTTTTTTGGGTGCACGTTTGGCTTTGGGGAGTGCCTTGGAGCTTCTTCTCCGTACAGCCACTGAACTGGTCGTTGACAGTCGTTGTATAAAATCCACTTTTCGTTGCCTGTCACAATCTGATCGAGAAATGGTTCATTGTAGTTTCATACAAGAAGAGAAGATGACACTTCAAAATGATATTTTTTGATTTTCGGTCAGCTCACGAGGCACCTACTTACTGAGCTTTCTCACCTTTCCAATTTGCTTCAAATGCCAAACGGCTATAGCATGGTTGACCTTGAGTTCTTTGGCAACTTCTTGTGTCGTTGTAAGAGGATCAGCTTCGATGATTGCTCCCAATTGGTTGTTGTCAACTTCCGATGGGCAGCAACTGTGCTCCTCATCTTCAAGGCTCTCGTCACCTTCGCAAAACTTCTCGAACCACCACTGCACTGTACGTTCGTTAGCAGTTCCTGGGCCAAATGCGTTGTTGATGTGAGTTGTCTCTGCTGCTTTATGACCCAAATAAGAAGGTCGCTCAAATGTGCTTTTTGTCTAACATCATTTCCATAGTCTAAAATAAATATAAAATAAATAGCAAGTAATAAGTCATTAGCAAAAAAAATAAAGTGAGTAATGCATATTAAAATGATATATAACATAACCACATTTATTTAAGAATGTATTCCAATATCAAATGGCAAGTTTCAACAGTGCTAAAACCACAATTAATTTTTTGCACCAACCTAATATTTCTCCTTCCTTTTCATGGCTCTTTTATTCTTTATCCATTTTATTTACTTTATTGTAAGCTGCTTTAAATTATTTTTTGAAAGAGCATATTAACAAGTAAATTAGGATACTAGATTACTGAGAGTACTGGCATTTAATGATTAAAGAGAAAATCAGAATGTTTTGGGAAAACCCCTGTGAAGAATACTACATGCCCTCTTTCTAGAAAGCCCCTTCCCTCCTTTCCTGTCACCTAGCTCACTCCTCCTCCTTTATGATTTAGCAGAAACACCACCTCCTGGAGGCCTTCCCTAGTTTTCTCCTCCCTCTGTAATCTGGGTTAGATACATCTCCTCTGTGTTCTGTACCACCCAGTGCTTCCCCCTCTAATACCATGTGCCCCTTGGAATTAGAATTGCATGTTTCGCAAGCCGGTATCTCCCTCCAGACTGCACGTTCTCCTTCATTGTATGCACAGTGCCGGCCACTTAGTAGGTGCTTAATAAGTATCTATGAGTCTTAGACTAGAAAATCTTTGACTAGAAAAAGGAGCCAATGAGTGACTTTTAACATCATTTAATCATATTATTGTAACAAAATCTACTTTAATGAAATGCCAGGTACCCTTGTGTGACAGTGTATGTTTGAAATAAACTTTTTAGTGGAGTCGTAGAAGAACCAGTTTAGAAGGGTTCTGGTGTAAGTCTTGTGAGTCATGACTCTGGGTACCAGAAGACTGTGTTTGAATGTAGAATAACTTGTCAAGAACATGCTCTGTGTTTTGTTCATCCTGATGGATGTTTAAGTTTCATATAGTCTGGTAGATTATACCATTTCATCAAAATATGTTAATTTTAGATATATCCCCTTTAAAAGTGCATTGCCCAAACGGATTTGTATTTTCTTGGGAAAATTGAGAATCTTCTTGTTTTCGTTGACTGGTTCCAGGTTCAGTCTGCAGCCCTGGATGAGATGTTTCAACAGACTGAAGATATTGTTTATCGCTATCATAAGGCAGCCCTTCTTTTGGAAGGCCTAACTAAGATTCTACAGGACCCTTCAGATATTGAAAATGTACATAAATGTAAGTTTACTTATAAAGTAGTATATTTATTGATTGTAATTTAGTTGTCAGGTAAAGTAAAAGAGCTTGGACTTTGGAGTCATGCTGCCTAGGTTTGAATCTTGGCTTTCCAACCTTGAGCAAATCCCTTAACCTTTTTCCGGTCTCAGTTTCTTCTTTTATAAGGTAAGAATAACGATGACTACCTTGTAGAGTTGTTGGGAGGATTAGGGCTGATGTATGTAAAACACTGGTGACGTTTGTCACTAGTCTTTTACTTTGTTGGCAAGGCAGGGGGTGTTCACATATGTAGGAAAACTTTGTTTTTATTATTGAATGCAACTATTTTAGCTTCATGGCCTTAGTAACTGAAGAATCCTATGAAGATCCTATGTACTGCAAATTTGGCATAGATAGCAGAGTGGAGACTGATAGGAGACCAGGATGATATGATTACTTATCAAATATAAGCCCAGCAGTCTAGTTTTTTAGGAGGAGGTTGTGGATCTCTTGGAGTGTATGTAGGCATACCACATTTTGAATGGCCACAAGGGCATGGAAATCCTAAAATTATTTGCAGTCGTCAGCAAGTTAGCTGTTAAAACCTAAATGTTCTTTATATGATGCGTTTACCTAAATCTTCTGCCTCATCCTCCCAAGTAGCTGGGACTACAGGCATGCGCCAGCATGCCCGGCTAATTTTTTTCTATATATTTTTAGTTGTCCAGCTAATTTCTTTCTATTTGTAGTAGAGATGAGGTCTCGCTCTTCCTCAGGCTGGTCTCGAACTCCTGACCTCGAGCGATCCTCCTGCCTCGGCCTCCCAGAGTGCTGGGATTACAGGTGTGAGCCACCGCGCCCGGCCGTTTACCTAAATCTTACCACCGTGCAGCACTAAGCTAGAAATCACATCTAAACTATTACCAGGCAGAAAGAGGAAAACGTTTTCAGAACTTTTAACTTTGGAGCAAAGGTAGAATAGAGATGACAGTGTAGAAAATGGACTGATTTTTTTCATTAGTTCTTAATTTTTGTTATTTCTAGATAAATCTAGTATTGAAAGAAGATTGTCGGCACTCTGCTATAGCACTGCGACCGTGTGAGCAGCAGCAGGCTCGTCCCGCGGACCAGCAGTGGGAGCGTGAGGTGATGCATTTGGGATTACAGCTTGGGTTCTGTCACCCACCCCAGGAAGCTATAGTTTCTTAACTGGTGACTACCAAAGAACAAGCAGTGATTTCAAAACGGAAAAACAATCCAAAAACTACGTATTTGTCGGAAATCTGCCTTATCGGAGAAATCACCCCCTCCGTTTTTCTTTGTAGAAGCAGAAGCAAGAGTGTTCTACTGGGCTGCCAATTTGAACTTGGTAAATAAACGTACCTTAGAACTAGAATTATCAGTACAGTTATTCTTAGGGATAATTAAAAATGCAACAAAGTGAGTGGCTCAGTTCACCAGAGCAATGTGTGAAATTCCATGTGTTTGCTGAGGTTTAAAAGTAAAAAAATCCGTATCTCATCCAGGCAGTTTGATATTTGGGGTAAGTTTGTCCAAATCTGAGCATGCATCCTTAAACAGCTCAGGAAGAAATAGCTTAAGAAGAAGCAAAAGATGGCTCCTGGAAGAAATTTTGAAATCTTCAATTTGATCTAATATGGACACATGTTAATCTTCCAAAAATCTTTCATATTGCACTAATTTATTAAAATAACTGTATATTGGATTTTGCGATTTAAAACTAACAGAGGCACAATGGACTTGTTTAAAATATTTTACTTGATTATATACATACAACCTTTTCAGAATTCACATGTAATCTCCAGTGGACTTTTAAATGATCAAAAACTTGTATTCATGTGAACCTTTGCATTTTTTTTTTTTTTTTTTTTTACCTATTCATCTACACCTACAGATTATCTCAGTAATATTTTGAGTTGCTGGTTGTTTGCTTTTGGTTGCATTTTTTATTGTGCATGCAGAATGTGCATTGATGCCTATGACCCTAGGTTTATTTGGGCAGTATTAGAAAAAGTATCATGAATCAAGAGATACTCTTGGAATTTTCCTAGGGCCAAAACAAAGTTGGTGATCTAAAGGCTTGTTAGTAATGTGGAGTTTCTAAGCAAGTTAGTGAAAAATAAGGTTTGTCTTCTGTTAGGAAAATGGGCAGCTCTCTCCAGCCTAATGTGTATTTTTCATGTTAATCCCGACAGTTCACGAAATAGCTAGTCATGGAGAATTCAGGCCGTTAACTTAATATCCCTTCAGGAACGGTTCCTACCTTGTATATTATTTGGTTTCTTTTACTTACCTGCTTGAATACTTGAATAAACCCTTCACCAGTTTTAATACTTTTATTTTAATCCTTTCACATAAAATAATCTGAACTCTTTGACAAATTATACAGAAGCTCTTTGGCATGAATCTAATTTTAGTGTACTGATAAAAACAAACAAAACATGGTTTTCCTTTGACAAAGTAATGTAATTTTTACCTTATTTATCTGTATAAAATTCCAGCAGTTAATTTGAACATTTATTTATATGATGTTTGTATTTTTAGATCTTTAATACAGTGTTTCTACCTCTCATTTGTAACTGCATGCATTATTCTTGAAACTAGGTAAAACTCACTGAATTGTTATGTAATAGCCTTTTTATTATTCCTGTACAAATGTATATTAAGGTAAAATAAAACTGACAAAGTGTTTCTAGGGTACAGTTGAATCCATGTTAAGTGGCTTGTCAACCAGATACTTCCTTAGTGAGACTTGGTCATTCATGTCCTCTGTCCGGCCACAGGGTTAGATGCTCGGTGACTGCCATGCAGGCTTCTGTGGACGCGGACTGTTGAGTGGTGATTCCTACCCCTCCTTGTTATCAGTGATGCTGTATTTTGTATAATTTTTTTACTTTACGGTGCAATTTCATTCATGTTCTCTCAGTTATCACCTGTGTTGTCTCAGTTGTAAGTTTATTCTATTTTCTCCTCTCCTGCTCCTTTTTTTTTTTTTTTTTAACATAGGATGACACAGGTTCAGAGAGGGTAAGCAACTGGTCTGAAGTCAGGACCTAGGCAAGTGGTCAGGCCATGCTTTGTGATTTCCAAGTTCATTCTTGCTCTTGTATAATAAAGGTCTTGGGGTAGATGGTGTGTGTGAAACAATGAGGTCTCAACAGCAGAGAAGAACAAACTGTAAATTCGTGAGTAATGGTTCTGATTATACTTCCATTATCAAGGCTAACTGTGCTAAGAGATTTTGCCTTGATTATAGCAATAATAAACAGATGCTTTATGTTTCCATGAGTATTTTTTAATTTCATATCATGTACTTCATAAAGTGGAAATGAACTAGTTCACACATTTATGGGTAGGCACCTATATTCAAACCATAATCTGGAAATTACTGACCATACAAATATAAATAGAGGAATAATCAGTGACTTTGTTATTCACTGGCTATTTCTGCTGTAAGGATTTGCTTTAACCGTACCATGTACTGTTCTTGGAGGTATGTGCTCTACACAGTTACTGCCCGTGGTCCCCTGCTCCCTTCCCTCCACACCGAGAGGAATAACCTGAACAGTAGTGGTCCTGCCCTTACTAGAGGCAGGTGTGGGAGCTGGGAGGAGGTTATTGGTAAGACTGGGCTGCCTTAGTCTCCATGGGTAATAAGGAAGAAATAGCATTGGACACAGTGGACATGAGGGCATGGACTCAGATATCTGGAAAAATCCTATGGTGATATTAGTGTTTTGAGCACAGGCTTTGGAAGAAGACTTTCACACTTTTAATGTATACTCCCTCCTTGTAGTTTCTGTTAGTAGTCTTGAATTCTTTCTGGAATAAAGCAAGGTTGATCAATATTTTTCTAGGAGGATTACTTGGCGGGGAGTAGCTACTATTCAGAGAAGTTGATATTGTTATGTGCATCTTTGAAGTATCTGTGCCCACCTCTAGACAGCCTGAGACCATTTACTTCTGGGTCCTGGACCCTTGAATCTGCAGCCAAGGAAGCTCTTGGGTCCCTCCCAAGTCTCTTTCTTGTTTGTCAGAGCCCTGTGAGAATACTTTCTTTGGGGAGGAGTCAAGATGATATTTTCTTCACCTGAATCAGAAAACCACATCAGAAACAATCCACCTAGAACAGCACTGCACACAGGAAAACTATGACAAGCAGCCCTGAAAATCACAGCATTTGTGCAAGAGGTGAAGCCAAACTGGTAACGGATCAGTGGGAATTCAGTGATCAGCTATACAAGAGAAAGCGGTGGAGGCTGAGAACCTGCTGCCACTGTGACCTGTGCAGAGCAGCCCAGCAGAAGCTGTGTGGAGGCATGGCCACCCACAGAGCAAGGGCCGGCCGCAGAGCCCCTGGGCACACGTCTGTGCAATGGAATTAATCTGCAAGTTTTTTCCTTTTCACAGAAGCCCTCTTAGTCCTGTTTTTAATGTGCCATGAAGATCATTTTTGTTGTTGAATGTGTTCTCTTTTAACAGCTCTTTAAGGCGCCTCCAGGTCTGGATCTGGAGCGGTGGAGGCTGCAGAGGTGACTAAGCACCAGGCACCAAGGAGGGCGGCAAACTCAGCTGCCCTTGGCTGAGGTCTCCATATGTTCAAGGTATAGGTTGGGCCCTCCTGGGCTCCGTGCAGCGTACCTTCCTCTGAGACAATCCTGCCCTTAGACAGTCTGCTTCTGTCATTAGGAAATGCTGGCTTGAACTTGCTTATTGAAAACTGTGTTCTATATCTCCTTTGGGGTTTCTGCAACTAAATTTGTCAGTGTAGCTCAGTGATCTACTTGTTCTCAAACTCCAGCTCCACCATGTTCCATTTGTGTGTCGTTGGGCAGGTTACTCACACTCTTCCTGTCTGTCAAATCTTACAGAGTTGGGGTGAGAATTAAATAAGTTAATGAATATGAAATTCTTTGAACATGCTAGCAATGGTAGTTGTTTTAATGGTTGTCATTCTGCAGCTCCTTGCTGTTCTTTTGTTTTGGGAGGGGGTGAGAATAATTTGTTTCGTGTTTGTGTGGGGCAAGGCTTGGATCTCTAGGGCTCACTGGAACCATGTGTGCTGTAGCTGGACAGCTACTGAAAGGACACAGTTCCTGCGTAAATGTCATTTTCCCCAGATTACCGGCCAGGCACCCTGGCTTCACACATCCTTTAAATTGCCCTTTTAGGTCAATTTGGCTGTTCTTTTTTTTTTTTTTTGAGACAGAGTCTTGCTCTGTCACCTGGACTAGAGTGCAGTGGCATCAGCCTAGCTCACAGCAACCTCATACTCCTGGGCTTGAGCTAGTCTCCTGCCTCAGCCTCCCAAATAGCTGGGACTACAGGCATGTGTCACCATGCCTGGCTAATTTTTTCTATTTTTTTAGTAGAGACAGGGTCTCATCTCGCCGAGGCTGATCTTGATCTCCTGACCTCAAGTGATCCTCCCTCCTGCCTTGGCCTCCCAGAGTGCTATGATTACAGGCATGAGCCACTGCACACCCAGCCGGATTTGGCTATTCTAATGAAATGTTTATATCAATCTAATTATTACTTCATTTGATCCTCATGCCAACTCTTACTTGCCTCATTTTACAGAGAGAGGAAAAAATTGAAATGGTAAAATCTATTCTTGTTTGTAGATGGTACAACAAGAGGCAGTGGACCAGACCTGGCACCCAGGTGGTAGTTTGCTGGCCCCGTCATGTAGACAGATAAATCAGAAGAGACAGACCCAAGATGCAAAGGATAGAGACACACATCCGTGGCTATGCTGGAATAATGTATTTTCCTTTCCCATCTGTGATGTTCAATTGATCCAGTGAACATAGAAACATGAAATAGTGTCAGATACAGAGCACCAGATGACGAATTCTGCTTTTAAACAGAATTTAATGAACTGTTAGTAAATTACAGAATACAAACTTTGCCCAATTCTTAGTTTTGGAACATTTGGGAGAATAACTGTTTTTCTGCTTTTTTGAGAAATGAGGTGCTCTACTTTTAATCTTGCCGTGTGGTTGGTTTTACATCCACTAGTGAGCATGCAAGTAGTGCCTTCTAATACGGTTTTTTTGGGGGGAGTGCTCTTTGCACAAAGCCTAGCACTTAGCAAGTGGTTTTGCTTTTCTTACTAAAAATAAGCAAAGCTAGGTTCTCCCTACTGGGCTGGGTTTGATGCCCCTGTTCCTAGAAGCAGCTGCCTGGAGTTGTTCTAAGAGCTAAAGTTAGCATCCATCCCTTGATACCATGCCAGGAGGCCCGTCCTTGGGCCCCTGCCCCATCTCTCTCAGCAGGGCAACAGGGGTGTGTTAATTTTGCAAAACCAAGTTCCAGTTCCTTGCTGTGGGGCTAACAAAGAACCATGGGGCTGATCCTCCATAAACATTTT